CAAATCACGTACAGTTCTACATCAGTTACGCTCTTCTTCAGGGAATTCACAACTTTCAACAAGATGATGTATAATTTACAATATTTCCTTTCACATTTTATCATCTACAGCTCACAAAAATAATTTAAGCAACTTCATCCACAATATATTAGCTCTCCTCCTAAAATAATTTCAGCCATAATGCTGATAAATTTACACCCGATCAATAAATCCAGGGGGGAAACTCCCATACAAAAATGACGGCGGTGCTCGTCATACCTTTTGGGGGTTAAAAACGCGGTTTTGGTACCTCTTAGGGTTTTAAGCCTCAAAAGGTCCACAGTGGGAGCTTTTGCAGTACCTTTTAGGGTATTGAGCCTAAACAATATGACGGCAAATAATGTGTTATGTAAGAATTGGTACTTTTTAGGGGAGAAAAAAATTGCAAGCCACACCCTCAAAACAGGATTTTGGTACCTCTTAGGCGTTCTTTTCAAATTTTTGCACCTTTTATATGAGAGTTCCCCCAGGCAATAAATCTGCCAAATTAAACATGAATTTGAGTCATGAATGGTTTATGTACATGAAAACTAATTATGCCATAGGCATAACACCAAGTTGTACTAGCTATGATTCACCAAGCAAAATTGTCCCTATCACAATGATTCTTTGCATCAGTGTTGTAAGCGACTCACGTCTGGTGAACTATTTGTGACCACGTCATTTGATTCTGTTACAGTGCCAGGACTAAAAAGTTTCAACAAGGTGACGTATAATTTGCAATATTCCTTTCATCGTTTATCATCTACAGCTCACAAAAATAATTTAAGCAACTTCATCCACAATATATTAGCTCTCTTCCTAAAATAATTTCAGCCATACTGCTGATAAATTTATACACGATCAATAAATTCCAGGAAGAAGGGGGGAGGGGTGGGGAACTCTCATACAAAAAGGAGGAGTGGTCTCTTCGTAACCTTTTAGGGGTTAAAAACGTGGTTTTGGTAGCTCTCAGGGTGTTTAGCCTCAAAAGGACCACAGCAGGAGCTTTTGCGGTACCTTTTAGGGTATTGCAGTGAAAAAATATGACAAGAAATAATCTGTTATGTAAGAATTGATACCTCTTAGGGGAGAAAAAAATATTTCAAGCCACGCCCACAAAAGAGGATCTTGGTGCTTCTTAGGGGCTCTTTCCAAATTTCAGACCCACACCTCCGTCTTTTTTATACGGGAGTCCCCACGCCAGGCATTTAATCTGCCAAACTAAACATGAACTTGAATCATGAATGATTTACATACATCAAGACTAATTATGCTATAGACTTCAGTTCAACTTGACAAAAATATTAAATTATGGATTGAGCACCTACAGTATCTCTTTATAGAGGAAGTTCTACTGCTCTGTCAATCACGAACAGGAGGGGCCCTTTCGATGAGTTGGTCTTGTGACCAGATCAAGAACGACAATCACAATGACAATGATTTAAGTCTTGCACTGAAAAAATCACCATGAAAATGAAACATTGCCAGATGTAAAGGATTCTTTCATCTTCTCTGTCGCACAACACCAAGTTGCACTAGCTATGATTCACCACACAAAATTGTCTCTA